GATGGAAAGTGGAAACCAACTCCAGGCTAGATTCAGTCTTGTTGCTGTCGTCTATGAATTTACCTGGTGGGGAGCTGGTGAGTGTGGTTTATGCAGAGCAGTGCCAGAGCCCTGTCTGGCAGAAGCTGGGGTGCTGGGAAGGTCCGGAGCCCTTCCCACAGTTCGCACAAGAGTGGTGTTGGGTTTTGTGGGTGGGTCTGTCGTACTCCCATATCTTTAACCCTCGGTGTTATTTGAACATGAACACATCAATGATCTAAAGGGAATGCTAGTCTGTCTGATTTTCCTTTGGTGACCAGATTGTGTTTTGTGTGGCATCCTGAGGTCCCCCCACAACGTGGGTATTAATTGATGTCTTCTCATTCTGAGCTACACGTGACTTTTCTTGCATTGTGCGTTTCAGAGAAGGAGGTCAGCAGAAGATGAGCTTGCGATGAGGGACTATCTGCAGGAAGGAGACCTCATCAGTGTATCCTTCACTGCTTGCACTCGGACAGAGGAGCCAAGGGGCATGGGGAGAACAGCCAGAGCTCGGCTAGCCTGGCTGGTAGCGAGAGCTCTCTGCCGCGGGCAGCCAGCAGCTGTTGGCACTGGGCAGCATTAGGGACCTTGTTTCCTTAAGTGGCGCTGACAGGCAGAGGTCCAGTCAATATTTTCTGACGGGGCTGTATCACTGCACACCCGGAGTCTGAAATACGGGAAGGTGAGTTGTTCAGAAGCACTCAGTCCTGGCCTACTTCTGCTCCAGTTGATTTTTATAAGGCCTTTTGGAGGGATTTTTACGAAAAAAGCTCTGGAGTAGAGCAGAATGTTGTTATAACCATTCCTGCAGGTTAGGAAGAATCTTAGCTCCTTTGTGGGAGCGCTGAGCAGAGTTTCCCCAAAGCAGCAGGAGTGCCCTTGAGTTGCCCTTTGAGCTGCTGCTCTCGCTATCCACAATTTCAGCCTGCGACTCCTGTTCCCCCACAAGCCGCTTGTGATTTAAATGCTGGGGAGAAAAATCTTCTGATTCCAAACTTCATCGCTTCTCTTCTGCAGGTTGTTGCCCCTGTGACTTGTTTCTCTCTCCAGGGCTCTATTTTAGGCTTTACACAGTTGGCATTTATCTCTGGTTTTGTGCATTGAAATAAGCCAAGGGGCCACTGGAGCACAGGCTGCAGTTCGGGATTACCAGAGCAAGGGTATTAGTGCTTAAAAGATGAAAGCAAAGTGTGCTTACTGCACAAAGGGTGAAGGACAGCGACTGGATTAAGAGGGAAAGTGTTCTGCTAAATTGGGCCTCTCACTTCTGGTTTTTCTGCAGGGATGGTTGATGTGTAGTTAGATCAAGATGTTATTAACATTCATGGTATTCTTCATCTTCAAAGAACTGCGCAGGCATTAGCTAATCCATCCAGCACTCCCAGAGGCAGGCAGGTTTTATATTCTCTGTTTCACAGAAAATGTGTTAAAATTGACTGGTTCCTAGACCAGGAGTGGAGTACATGTTGGTGACTTGATGTTATCTACGGTGGCTCGTGTCTCTCATGCTGAGTCTTGTGGTCTCCTCTTCAGCTCGGCCAGGGTGTGCTCGTTCAGGTCTCTCCCTCCCTCGTGAAACGCCAGAAGACTCACTTCCACGACTTGCCCTGTGGTGCATCCGTGATCCTCGGCAACAATGGTTTCATCTGGATCTACCCAACTCCAGAGCAGAAAGATGAAGAGGCAGGAGGCTTCACCACCAACTTGGAGGTGAGAGTTCAGGGAAGATGAACCTCCTCCTACCAGTGATGTTTTGTTAGTCTAATGTAGTCAGAGGCACATGAATAACCTGAGACTTTCAAGATTTGGTATTAGGTTCATGGCAAACTTTTTTACGGTAGGTTTGCATTATTTCCCTGTGTATTCATCTCTTCTCCTCTCCCCTTCCTCAGCCGGTTCCCTTGTCTGACCGGGAGGTGATCTCACGGCTCCGAAACTGCATTGTGGCTCTGGTTACTCAGAAGTTGATGCTCTTTGACACCAGCATCCTGTATTGCTATGAAGCATCCCTTCCTCATCAGGTACAGAAACCTTTAGGGAGGGAATGCAAAGGCCACATCAGGTGCTGCTGATGTCAGTAAGTTAGGTGGCTGGGCTTCCTTTGGCTTTCCCAAGCATCCTGGAGTAAGTGACAAAACAAACTTCTTCCCTTCTGCATAGCATAACTTGCCTGGCATGTTTTCAGAGATAGTTTGAAGGGTTCTGCCTCTGGCAAAGTCCAACTATTCCTATAGACAAATAGTTTCATTTTTTGAGAGAGGTGTATCACTTGCTGGGATTGTGGACCCTCTGTGATCCCTGTGAAAACAGTGTTAAATTTGGGATTGTGTGAGGGTACGGTGCATTTTAAGAACAAATGAAAAAGCAAGTGTCATGTATTGTACAGAGACCACTTTTCTGTTTGTATCCACATCCTGCACTGCTGGAAGGCTCCCTCGATTTTACCTATTGATTTACAGCTTTTCTCCATTATTTCTGCCAGTGAAATTTCACCATTTCACTGGTAATTCTCTTCTCATAGATGGATAAGATCAGAATTGTCATCTGCTTTCATTCACAGTGGCAGCCTACTCAGCTAGATGGGATGTTCTTTTGAACTATACTTTTGCTTAAATCATCTCTCCCCTTCCCAAGTACTGATGTGTGTCCTTCAGGAGAGATTAGGAGTTGTCAGTAGCATCTCCTTCGATTTCTTACGGTCTCTGTAAGAATTGCTAACTCTGGCAAAGCTGACTTTGCTTTAGACCCTCTGCCATGATAATCTTGTTTGACCACAAGCCTCTAAACTCACTTGCTGCTTATTGCTGTGTGCCAGGGACCCTTGTTGCTTTTTGGTGCCAAATGTTACTCTTCTTTCCACTCCAGATCAAGGACATTCTCAAACCAGAGGTGATGGAGGAGATCGTTCTGGAAACCCGAAAGAGGCTGCTGGATCTGGAAGGATAGGGCACATGGCGAGAAGCAGTCATTTGAAGTCCCACCACGGCAGCTCTTGATTCTCAGTATTTTTTTTTTTTTATAGTGTCTTAGTACCCAACATTCATTCCACACTTCAGAAACCACCAAAATTCTTCTTTTTAACTCCTGAACCCTTTTAGTACAGTAGTACTACATTTAGTGCAATAGTACTAAATAGTACTTAAGTACAATAGCCTTTTAGTGCAGCAGCCTGAAAAATTGCTATCTGACCTTTATGAAGATGCAGGTGCAACTGGGACAGATCTCACAGCACTTGTTGCTGTGTCTAGCGCCCCTGAACTTTGTGCACAATGAAAGAGGGGAAGGGGTGTATTTTGTGATGTTTCTCTCTCCCCAAAGGCTTTCTAAATAGTTTTGATTTTCCTTTACTGTGGTACAGATCTGCCAGTCTGTACTCTGACTGAGAGCTCTTGTTTTGCTCTTTAAGACTGCAGATCACAGGTACAGGTCTTTACAAGACAGGAGTATCCATACCCTTGCTAACTGCATTTTGGGTCTCAAGGGTGTGAGACTGGATGTAGCATGATGTGTCTGTCCACATGAGCCAGGAGCCATGGGTGAGCAGTGCCTTCTCAGTCTGTGTGCATCCTGCTGATCCCTTTTTTTGTATGCCTGATGTGGTAAGCTCCTTCAATGAGGCTCCGGTTTTGTTTTCTATTAAATATTTTATATTTTAATAAATTTTTTGAAACCGATCAGTCATTCAGGAGTGTGTATGTTAACTCGTCTTTCTCCAGAAATAATTTGATCTAGCTTGAGAGCTATGGTTGGCTCAATTTTTCTTGTGCCAGGACACTCGGAATGGTTGCAATGTCCTGTTACCTCCTCTTCAGCTCTTGTTCCTCATCCCATTCAAGCAGGACTCTTCAGCGAATCTTCTGTGCAGAGTTCCTGCACAAGTACATTGCCTGGCATTGTTCACAGTGGTGCTGTCAACATTGCTTCCCTGCAGGATCCCATGGAGAAGTGAGTCAGGCAGCAGCTGTGTCTGGGGGATGACAGGGAGCCCGGTATGATACTGGTAAAGATCCTCAGGCCAGTGGCTAGAGGTAGGCATGCTGAGCCAGACGTTGATAGTCACTTGCCTTCTCTGTACAGAATGGACATGATGCTTTCCTTAGAACATCCTCTTGGATCTCTGCTACTGTATTAGAGCTCTTTGTATTGTGTATATATATTGTATTTGTATTGTATTAGAGCTGCTTACACCACAGTGCTCTAGTTCTTAAAAAGGACAAAAAAAACCAGAATACATGCCCTAATTGTCCCTGAATCTAACACTAATGTTGTAAATTCTCATGCTGGCCCAAGGCAAAAGGAAAAATTCTTTGCTCAATCTTTTCCTGGAAACTAGAAATGCCCTTTGTTGCTTCTCATCTAGTTCAAACCACTCTGCCTGGGGTGTAGAGTAAGCACTAGATGGCAGCTTCAGATCATGTTTGTTGTATTTACTTTACCCAGCAGCTCTGCCTCATTGCCCTGCCAAATAGCAAAGGCTGGATGTCTGCCACCAATGCTGCTACCTAAATACTACAGCATTATGGAGCTCAGTGGCTAAGGACAAGCAAGGACATGGTAATCCATTCTGTACAACTCAAAATTCTGCCCGTGCTGCCTTTCTAAAATAGTATTTAACTTCTTGGGGATATCAGTGGAATGCTCCACACAAGACCTGGGAATTGTTAATTTTGAGTTTTAGGAGGATTGCCTAATAAGTGTTGCAACAATCACATCCTTGAGATGACTCGAGAAATTTGAAAACTGAAGCTTGATGGTGACACTTTTGGGTCTGTGCATGAGGCTGGTAGCAGCATTATCCACATCTGCATGGACAGGAACAGTGCAAAAAGGCTAAAAGCTTTAGCAGCCTCAGCATCTTTTAATTAGAAAAGTACCTCTCTTCCCTACCCTAATTGCAGTAGTTTAGCAGCTGTTCATCTTATTACCATACAGGGGGATTCAGGGATTTCTGCTGTGAGGTTCAAGGTATAAGCAGATTGGAGATACTTAATCTCACTGCTTGTATATCTGATGTCCCTTTTTTAAAAAGCATTTTTGAAGGCTGATGGAGAGGTCTGTAGTTAATCCAGTAGATCTCTTTGTATCTCTGCCACTTAAATTTCAACAACTTTGTCAGTTAAAGGGCAAAGAGGTGAAGAGACTACTTCAGTGCCACCCAGAGAGATCTGATATCTGGAAATGGTTCTGCTGAACTGTTACACGAATGCAAAATGCTTCTCTGTCCTCAGCAACCTCTTTGCAGGCACCTAACAGGTCAGAAAGGGGTTGGGGGGTTATGAGGCTTTTGAAAGTGCTGTTGGTAATGGGGTGGAAATGTGCTGAGGTAGTGTGCTCTGGAGGTGGTTAATTTAGAGTTGGATCTTGCTCATGGGTACCAAGCATGAGCTGTCAGACCTGCAAGGTGAGCCAGTGCCAAGTTCTCATAACACAGGTTTTAGGAAGAGGGTGCTGGTGTCTCTGCAGCAGGCTATGTGGGCTGCACAGCTGAGTTATATATAACCTTTTTTTTTTTCCTTTTCCTCTCTCTTTTTTTTTTTCTTGTTCTTTTTTTTCTACATAGCAGTTTTTAAAACTGTGGTCTATGTCCAAGCTTCTTGTGCTAGCCCTCTTTTCCCATGATGTACATATTTTTTGTTATTTATGCTTAATAAATGAGTATACAACCTGAAAAACAATGAGCTTAAGATCTGGGCTGCTTTAGCTCTGAGTTTTCTAATTCCTGCTTTATTGCAGCATTCCTGGTAGTTTGGCCTTGGAGGTGTATTAAACGGGGGAGAATATGTGACTTATCCAACTCCCATGCTCCTGAATACCTGGCACTTTTGTTTTTAGGCCTGAGAACAAGAGCACCAGTGGGTGAGGTTTGGTTTTGGATCTTTTCTGATGTGTGGGTGGAACTGAATGTCCCGGTGTTTTCCTCCCTGGCCACGCGGGGTCATTGCTGTTCTTTGTGAATTCAGCCAGTGCTGTGCCAAGGCAGAACCTAAACAGATCTCTAACAAGGCTTCAGTGAGGACATGGCTGGAAGTTCCTGCAACCCCATCAAGCAGAGCTTTGCAAGCTAGCAGGTAACAAGAGATGCGAGTGACAACCTTGCATGGGGAGGGAGAAACTCCCTGAGCAGTTTCATAGGTGTCTAAGAAAGGTACCGGGCCAGCTGCTATTTACTCTTCATTTGGCTGAATCCCTGTGACTTTTTGCTCTCTTGACAAATGTCAAGGGCCACCAGTGCTCATCCAGCTCAGAAGCAACTGGATGTGCTGCTGTGGCTCATGGTTCCCAGATAGAAAGGCTTCAAGTATCACTGTCCAGCCAGCACCCACAATATGGCAAATTACTTCTCCCCAGTGCCCAGCAGAGATGAGTGAGGAGTCAAGACAGGGTCTGGGGGAGGCTCTGGTATCTCAGGTAGTTGTGGGAGCTGTGGCCTCTTTTTCACCAGAGGTTGGGGACTGCTGACAAAGAACCTGCCCCACTTTGCTGCTTATGATTGCAAAGCATCAGAAGGAATACCTGACTGTTGACCTGAATGATAAATTCACCCTAGTCTGTTAAATAAAAAGTAAGTGCATTCATCTGCATAGCTCTCAGGTGAGGCAGAGAGAAGCATATATACAGCTTGTATTGTCTAGAACACAAGTCCTGCTTATTTGCAATTACCTTTGAGTATTTTGGTCAAGGTCTTTTGAGTGTCACAGACCTGTGGTAGTCTTCTGGAGTTTGCTCTGCTTCAGCCCTGCCATGGTAGGAGAGATTATCCAGGATGCTCCAGTCAGACCCAGAAGGGAGTAACTTTTTCAGTAAAGGATGGTTGGTATTATTTTTTTTGTAACAAATTTGTCTCAAGCTGCTCAGCCTGCGTTGACGGGCAGCTTTGTTTCTTCAGTTTCCTTTAATCCATGGGAGCTGAGCGGGCGGTTAGATCACTGCAGTGAGAAACTGATCTCCATTACTCAGATAAACCTGGAGAAATTCTCCTGAGTTGAAGAGATGTGACCCTGGATTTGTCGCAGCATAATGTACCCGAATTTCTCTCTCTTCTGCTTGTGTGTAGCACGAACAACCTCACTGTCTGCAATTTGAGTCACTGATGGAGAAATGCAATAGAAATGGTTTGGAATCAGTCTCCTGGCGAAGAGTTCGTGATGTAGGAGCAGAGTGGCACAGCAGAGGTGAAGGATCCCGTAGGGCTGTATGAAGTGCTACATTTGAGATGCTATTGTTGGAAGATGAAAGATACACGTCTGCCAGGGACCTTGAATATGGCGTAGGAGACATGGAGTATGTTTGGATTTGTCACAAGGGAGGAGTCAGTATAAACAAGCCGCTGTGTCCAGATGGTTACCCTGAGCAGGAGGCTACTGCACAAAATTGCATCTGTGTGTTCTCCTGTTGTCGAGTGGGAGCAACCACAGACCTTTGACCAAAACACCCTGACCTCAAGCTGCTGCCTCAACCCTCTTCTATTCCCAAGGTGAACTGGAGAATGCACGAGAAACTAAATATCTTCAGCGTCACTGACTGTCCCCTCTTTAGCTCAGGGAACTTTTGTGCTGCAACATCTAAGGGCATCACAGTGCGGGCTGAAGAATTTGGGGGTTTCACTTCATCTTTGTACCAAATGGTGCCTGAAAGTAGATCAATAAAGTATTTGTTTTATTGTCATATTAATTGGCCTCCATGGCTGGTATTCGTGTCAAGTTCTGCATATGCTCTGACAGCATTAATAAGGAAGTGAAGCCCTTTGTGCAAGCAGGGTGGCTGATCTCTGGCTGTGGAAAAGCTGACAGTTATGCACACGGCTGACCTGTAAGAATCTCTTCTTCCTTGTCCATCTCTGCACAAAATCCAGGGTCCAGAGCAAGCCAGGGGTTTCCGGAGCTGGCTTGAGGGACAATGAGATCGTGTCATCAGAGCTACAGGAAAAAACCTTGGGTGGCCCTTGCAAAGGGGTAAGGGACTGGGTGAGATTTCTGAGTCTTGAGCTAGCGTTTGC